ATATACGACAGGTCTGGACCACTCCTGAATTTTGTTCGTATCTGAAAAAAATCTTAGAATACGAAAACATTGGTGAATGACACAAATTCTCCTAAATCACTCGTACGCACAACTTAAGAACAAATCTGTGCGTACGAACGGTTTTTGCATGAGACCCATTGTTCTGACCCATAGCGGTTCTGAAGCAGCCCCCGTCCTTCTCCCCTCCTCCTCCTCCTCCTCCCCTCTCCCCTACTGAGGCAGACCTGGCTGCTGCTTGATCGGATCTTGTATTTATTTATTTATTTATTTATTCGTCTTGGACATTTTTGCTGCTCAACAAATAACTTTAAGCCTCAGTCAGAAAAACTGGAGGGTTTTATTTACTTTTGTCCCGAGAGGAGGACAAAACAAATGGTGGATTTAGATGCCCCCCCTCCCCACACGCGCTTCCTCCTTGCGACGTGGCACGCATATATCATATCAGATCGTCTTTTAAAAAATTAACTATGGCATGTACTTTTTATCATAACTTCAGATCTACTTGGCCTAAGAACACAATTTAAAAACTGGTTTAAAGTTTGAAGTCTCTACTTTTCACTCGAGAGTTAGAGAGGGCGGATCCTTACAGTTAGAGTTTTTTTCTTTCTTCCTAAACTTTATTTAGGTCAGCCAGCATTGACAACGCTCTGCGGGTGATGTAAACGTCTCCATGACGTGGCGAGGGACGCATAAATTGCGCGACACAAGGAATCGATAATGAAATTCGTTGCCAACGCTTTTAATAATTGATTTTTATCAATTTTATTGATTCATTGTTGCAGCCCTAGTCTGGGTACAGCTTACTGATGACTTGAACCACCTCATTAAAGTGCAGACTTGGTATTTCAACACTGTTTTAATTATGCAGTCATGCAGGAACAATTAGCTGCGGCCTTTAGCCAAATAACTAATCAGCACGTACTGTCACAAAGGCAGTTACCTAAAGCAAGTGAACCCACACACACACACGCACACGCACACACACACACACACACACACACACACACACACACACACACACACACACACCACTCATGATCGGCCTCTAAACTCATGGGGACCATAAGTTTGGTCCCCACATGGATGCAATTTTCCTGGTAATTGTCCCCACCTGGTAACAAAAAAACCTGTCCACACACACACACACACACACACACACACACACACACACACACACACACACACACACACACNCACACACACACACACACACACACACACACACACACACACACACTGTTCCTAGTAAAAAAATATTTGCTGCATTCTGGGCTCTTGTGGCCCTTTTCCACTAGTACCAGTCCAGGCTGGCTCGGATTGGTACGGTTCCAAACTATTTCCATTAGGCCAGATTCATGGAACCAGCCCTTTTTTTAGTACCTACTTCATTGTGGTTCCAAGCGGCCCCAGTCGACACCAAAATGCGACGTCACAACACTGTTTGTCACTGATTGGTTAGGGGATGCAGTGACTGGTTGCCTCTGAGCTGCCTTTACAACAACTCGAGGCGCCATTTTTTTTTTTCAATTGTAGCAGCGATATTCACAATGGCAGAACAAAGATCCAGACCATGGTCTAATGCTGAGGTGCAGGAGTTTTGTGCTTAGTGGCAGAGGAGAAAATTTAAAGCGAGCTAGATGGGTCGACTCGCAACGAAAAAGTGTTCAAGAAGTTGTTGTAGCTGATGGCCACTCGTGGAGATGAGAGAGCCCCGAAGCGATGTCGGGACAAACTGAAAAAGTTGAAGTGCGATTACCGCACGATTAAGGACCACAATGGAAGGAGCGGTTCAAACTGGTTCAAACCTACTGCTACTTTTAATGGTTGCCTACAAACAGCATTACCACCACCATCAGGCAAATACGTGTGATGATGATTTTCGGACAGTGGAAATGCCCAAAACACACCCACTGGAACCGGACTGGAACGTCAATGGAAAAGCACCCAAACCGACCCGTTCCGACACTACGCTAGGTGGCACTAGTGCATGCAGGACAGCTGAACTCTGCAGTGCTGCTACACATGCTTCACTTTGCTAATACTTTCTTTCCCTAAAAGAGTTTTCTTCTTTTTGTTTACCTTATTTTACTCCGTATTAAGAGATGCCCTCACATTTTTTTATTCTCTTGGTTTGTCCTCCTGTCCTCACCTCTCCTGTCTCAATGTCTCCTGTCTCAGAGTCGATGATCCTGTTGGGCTCCATCGAGCGTGCCCAGCTCCAATCCCTGCTCTCCCAGCAGCTCAGTCGCAGCAGACGGCTGGAATACATCAAAGAGCGAGCTGCTGCCGAGAAAAAACGCCTGTCCGTGGTGTCCAACAGTGACAGTGATGATGGACGGCAGCGGGCCAGTCAGGAGGTCCGCTTTCAGGTGAGACGATACTGCTGAGGAATACCAATGTAAAAAAGACAGAGAGAAGAAAAACTGAATTAGGAATTTAATAAAGCTGAATTGCAGTTTGTAGAAGCAGACGTGAGTATGATCAAAAGACAAAACATCGGGAGAGTACCGTTTTTGTACAGTGAAGAAATGCATCATACTGGAATCTCAGTGCATCTCATTCCACTGAGAGAATTTTTTTCCAGATTCTTTATTTAACCCAACAACACAGCAAGTTAAGTTTTTTGTTAAGAACAGTAAAGTGATAAATCAGCTTATTTTGCAGTACTTTAAGGATGTAGTTATCATTTGGGGCTACACTTTCTAACAAATTGTCCATGTTTTAAGGGCACCAGAAGTTTTAGTATTGTTCACTCCACAATGCAGTGCATCATCGTTATTTTCTACTAATGCAGAGTTAAAACAAGATTTTCACTTCAACTTTAGAAAGTTGTTACCATAGGTAAGCAAAAATGTTTTTTTATATAAGGAAAATGCAAGTATGAAAAGTCCTAATGTAAAACTTTATATCAAACCCAACCTGAGAAGTAGGCTTTTAGCTTTCAACTCCTGTTGGCTTTTTTCTGTGTGCTTGCTGTTTGGATTTTCTGCTTCGTCTGATTCATCTTGTTGTTTATATCTCACCACTCTGCTGAAACATTTGTCTACTGAGCCAAATGCCAGAAGGAGAGATTTTTGAAGGCATGATCAGGTTGTTGTATTTTATCCTCTGCTTGTGTGCACAGATCTCTACTGAGGAGTCCTCCTTCAGTCCAACTCGTCCATCTGTCCAGAAGCCCCTTAAACCTGCACTGAAAAGACCCTTTGTTGTAGAGAGACCCACAGAACTACCCACCAGTAAGAAATCTCATAATGTTTTTGCCCCTTCTAAATGTAAATTAATCAATACAGCATCTGATAAAATATTTCTACAAAACAGCGAAGCAAATATATCTCCAAATCACTGTCAGTCCCAGGGAATAGTGTTGTTATGCTCTTATTGCAAAATTTAAGCACTTCTCACATAGTGACATTTGTCTAGCCCAGTTCTGGCCCACACAATGCACTAACACTGGGCCCATATAGCAAATAATAGCCCTTTGGTGGCCCAGATGTGGTTTTCCAGAGGTGGTGTATGAATTGAAGCATACATAGACCACCTCTGACAAACCACATTTGCACCACAAAACAAAGCACAACCACGCCAGCTGTGGCGTTGACTGCCTTAGGCCAGAGATTCTTAACTCACGGGTCGTGGCCCAATTGTGGGCCACAAACGCCACCTTGAGGGCCTCAAAAGAACAACAGTTTTTAACTTTGGGGCGCACAGGGCCACTGGATCGTATTGATTTTGAATAAGGTGCAATACACTCTATCACCACTAGTAGGGGTAGTGCGCCACTCAGATATTTAACAACCTTGTAGAATAAGAACCTTAGATACCAGCTGAGAGTGGAAACCTATTTTAAATGAAAAGTAGAAGGCAAAAATGAAGGTAACCCATCAAAAAAGCCAAAGTTTGTCACTAATATGAAGAGCAGCTTCTGGTTCTACCATGCAATATTTTAAAAGTTCAAAACATTATCAAATACATTTGTAGAAACAGCTATATTTAAGTTGCACTTTATCAAATTAATTTTTTTAGTTTGTAACGGTTTACAAGGTTTAATTTTTAATTTGTTTTATTATTATTATTTTTAAGGGATGTCAGCCAGGTATCCCTCCTGGCAATTAGGATGTTATTTAAACCCTGCCTTTCTCACAGCCAGTCACATAAAGGACCATACATTACAAGATATAGACCCTTTCACTTTAACTAAATATTCAGTGACAGAAAAAAACATTTAAATGAAAGAAAGTGAGCACACACCAAGGAATAAAGTTTTTTTTTTCATATACAGTATTTACAAAACAAAAAGAAATACAATATAAACAATAGAAAAACAATTTATCCCTTCCCCAGTGTCCGCATGTGGTACTTAAAGTATTAAAGGTATTAAAGTGGTACCCACTTTAATTCAAAATTCAGTTTTTTAAGCAAACTTCCAGCTTTGCTCCACAGGTAGCAAGAAGACGACTTGGCTATCTACAAGCACAGATGGGTGATTGCTTGACTCCACAAGCAAGAGGTTGAATGGTTGTAAAGATTAAACTTAACAGAAAAGCAAACACTCCCACAAAACAAAACTACTTGTACAAAAAAATACACCCATACAAAAAAAACATACAAAAAAACTCCACATCCAGGAGCTAAAACACACAAAGTAAATACAATTACTTTTTTCATAAGTCATTTCTTTGGACTAAAACATTGAACTAAAACAACATGAAACAAATTTACTTTTTGTAGAGTGTGTTTTATGTCGGCTGGTGTGTTTTTAAGTTTTAAGGTCCACTGAAAGAAAGCAAGATAATTGATTTTCTTTAGTTTTTTGGAGTTTTACATTATTTAAACATTAATTTTAGTTTTTGTAGGAGACTTAAACGCCTCGGTATGGAGCTTGTACGCAGGTTTTGGAGCTGCTGCTCATTCGGGTCTGGCCATCGAATGAACGAACGCACAAACACACTGAGTGGGCGGTTCTTAAAGGGATGAGTCACTGTGGCTCGACGCAGGTGACCAGAATCAATAATTAAGGTCGGAGGTGAAAAAAACATGTGCAAAAAATTGACTAAATTTAGTGCAACTTCAGGTTGCCACAAGTTTATTTTTAAACATTTTGAATGTTTTTTAAAGAAACTTTAAATAAGAAGAGCAGCTTCTGGTTATACCATGCAAAAGTTTAAAAAGGCTTTATTTTCATTTACACTTATCAAATTTATTTTTACAGATATATTTTTTTAATATTAACATTGAACATTTTGAATGTATTTATTGTATGGCCACAATTTTATTTATTGAATTGTCTATTTTTGTGAATGTTTTTTAAAAAAATGTTTGTTTTTCTGTTGATAAGCCTGAGTGGTCTGTGGACTGACCGTTGTATTTGTTCAAATAATTGTTATGGGCAGGTTACAATATAAAAATGTTTGTCATAATCATGTCTTGTGATTATTTGACAGGAGTTTTACTTTTAAACTGTAAGAGTATTTAATTTAGTTATAATGCAATTAAAATAAAATTAAACCAAGATTTAGAATAAATATCATTTTGACCTGCACATTAATATCTGACTGGGCCTCGTGCCACTTTATATTCAACAAATTGGGCCCTGAGGTGAAAAAGGTTAAAAACCCTGCTCTAGGCCACATAAACCAAGTCACTTCTGGGCCAGTTGTTGTATGCCAGACCAGGGGAGTCATGTAAAAAAGACTTGTGTGGATTTCTTACTGAAACCTGACGTACGGTCAAATCCAGCAAACGGCGTACGCACAAAAAAATCCAGATGTATCAAACTGTGCATACGCCTGAATCCATGCGCATTTCTTTTGTACATCACAATTAACGTGGGACTGAGCGCAGGTAAGACTCCTCCCCTGACACGCCTTCATTAACATATGTTAAACAGATGCTAATTACTTCCTGCATGTGTGAAGGACACGTTTGAGTGATCTCTGTGCGATTAGAAATGATTTCTAAAGTCATAAAAATAATTTATTTAATATGATGTGAGTGAGAAAAAAATCCTAAATAAGAATAGGAATAAAATATGTTTATCACGCAAAGAACGAGCGATTGTGTGTCGGTGTGTGTGCGTGCGCGCACGCTGCTGTGTTGCGCAACTGATCCATCCATTCTGAATCTGAAAATATTAACTTTGCGCACGAGTTTATTACCATAATTACTGTAAACACAGAGGGACTTAAATGTTTGGTAGAACATAGATCTGTGTTTATTTCATAGCTGATATGAAGAAACGAGTCTCTGTGTCTCAGTGGAGAGTTCACATGATGTGACGTGATGTTGGAGAGTCTCCACAAACACTGCAGCACCGCAGCCTTTGTGTGCAGTCTGTTTCTGTCCAGCTTTTGCTCTCCTACTTACAGCATCTTCACAAGTTGTAAAGTGTACTTCCACGTGTCATTTTGGAGAAATCTACAACGTAAATGCTAAGTATGAAACACCTCCACTGCCGGTGAGAGTGCGCGCGCTCGAGCGCGACCATAACTCAGCCTTTAGAAGCATATGGATGAGACGATTCTGTTGGTCATGATTCAGCTTTGGGTGGACTGGACTGGCACAGTCTCAATCGGTCTGCCAGCTCCCTCTGGAAAGCTCCTGTGGAACCCCAGTTTGATCGCTGGTTCTGCACGCACATGCACGTGGCTCTTCTCTGTGTCGTGCTCCAGAGCGCAGCAGTGCCAAAGTGAAAAAGGATTATTCCTGAAAACGGATCAGAAAAGCTCTGCGTGTCACACTATTTATTATATCCTCCAGTAAGGCTGAATCAGTTCCTGTTAAATGTATTTTTGCCACAACTTTGTGCGTTCTTTATTTAACTGTGTCAATGTGGATGTAAAAAAATTGTTCATCACGTGTGTCTGCTGTGAACAATAATCATTTTCACATCATGAACAGTTTCTCAGAATCACCTCTAAGTGTCGCCAGTGGAACTAAACCCACAGAAACATGTGACACCAGCCCTGGAGTTGGCGTGGGGCTGAGTACATTTCCACGTTCAGTTGAGTTTTGATACATCCAGAGTGTTGCGTGGAAAATGGCGTACGCAAGGTTTTCGTGCGTACACACTGTTGATACATGAGGGCCCTTGCCCACATCCAGTTGACAAATCACATGCCCAGCAGTGCCAGCTTGTCACCAGGTCAGTTTCAATACGAGTCTCAAAACAGTAGCATGTAATAGTATGAGCTTGACCCCGCTTTCCAAAAATGAGTCAGATTTTGGGAATTCCTTCTTGTTCAGTCAATAATAATGTGATACTATAGTTTGGCAAAGCATATACTTTTAGCAATCACTTCTTTTAGTCGGTGTAAGAATGGGTGCATTCGAATCCCAACTTTTGTACTGTCTGGACACTCCCATAAAGAAATGGGCAGAGCTGTCAACTAATAGTAAGTAAGTAAGTAAAGCTTTATTTATAAAGCGCCTCTCACAGAAATATATTCACAAGGTGCTGTACAATCAATACAGTATAGAAATGATGGAAAGAATAAAATGAAACAGAAAAACATAATTACACATAAGCAACAATAATTGAAACATCAAACCAAGAATTAATTTCTAAAATTGTAAATCAAACACAAGGTCAATGCAGGGCAAAATATACAATAATACACAAAAACACAATGAATGCGGGAGAGAAAATATGGCGTAAGTTCAATAATAAAGAAAACACAGATTGTCAAGCATTCACAATGGAGGTAGGCTGGCAGTAATGGTGAAAAGTTTAGCTAAACGCTTGAGAGAAAAAGTGAGTTTTTTAGGAGTGCCTTGAAAGAGACAATGTTATCAAGGGAGCGCAGATTAAATCGGAGTTCATTCCAGAGCCTGGGGGCCACAGAGGAGAAAGCACAGACACCATGGGTCTTGAAGCGAGTGAGGGGAACCATAAGGAGGTGTTGATCCTGTGAGTGGAGGTCTCGTCTGGGGTTGTAAGGGGAAATGAGACTTTTAATGTATTCTGGGGCTTGGCCATGAAGAGCTCTGAACGTGAGGACCAGGATTTTGAACCAGATTCTGAACTGAACCAGAAGCCAGTGAAGTTCTGCTAGGATCGGGGAGATGTGGGTGAATTTGGAGGTTCAGGTTAGGAGTCTTGCTGCCGAGTTTTGGACAAGCTGAAGACGATTTAACTGTTTCTGGTTAAGACAGGTGAACAAGCTGTTACAATAGTCTAAGCGGGTAGAAATGAAGCAGAGGTGATTTCTCTGAGACTGCAAGGGAAGCTCAGCTTCCCCTAAAATGTAAAAAAAAAAAATAGATAAAATATACAGTATTCTGTTGTGTGTTCATGTCATTGACTAAATATGCGCTACAACATGCTCAACTTTTGTTCAGAATCACCTTCTTATCACTGGTAAGTAACGCAGCTTTCCTCATTTCCTCATTTCACTCATTCCCGCAGCTTCACAGTGCTTTAAACAGTCGGACGCTGAGCGTCTACAGAGCTCATTAGTGATGCAAAGACTGCAGTAAAACGAGACGAGTCATTGGATATATGCTGGGTTTGTCCCGCCCATTGGACGCTGAGCGTCTCTGGGATGGGGCAGGGGGCTGGGTCGGACGCTCGTTGTCTGCATGATGATTGGATAATCTGTCGGAGGCTGAATCCCTTTTTGATTGACAGCGAAATGAGCGAATCAGCTATCTTTTTGGTGTAAACGTGCATGGGAGCAGTTTTTAGTTTCGTTTCTGTTCTTAGTTGAAGCGGAGACTTTATTAATCCTTTTAGCAGCATTTTCTTTGTTAAAAATGACTAGCAACAAATCGAGCTTCTATTTCTGGTGTTATTTCTGTAGTTGCTTATGTTTGGAGACAGACTTCTATCACTCTTTCTGACTTCTTCTGTCCAGCGCAGGTGCTGCTGAGCCCCTCCACCATCATAAAGCACTCACAGACGGACACACCACTCTAGCCTCATGCCAGTAACAAGCTGCACATAATGGCAGACAGTTTGAATGTTGTGGACCGGATTTTGGTGAAGCCATTATAGTCTTGTTTACAGAGAAAAACTTAGAGTTAAACAGCAGGGCTGATCAATTCCTCAGATTAATTTGGTGCAAAAGGTGGAGAAAAGTAACAGGTCTTTTCAGCTGTCCTGGTATGACAAAGTGAGCTGGCTGCTGTGAAACACTATAGAATTATCTGGAAAATGATTATAAAAGCATTGGATCATTTAATTCCTTTAAAAAAATAATCAAAGCAAATTTGTTAAAGAAATATGAAATTGTTTAATTTGTATTTGTATGAGTCACTGTTTGAGGAGTTGATTGTTTTAGTTTTGTTTTATTATTTGGTTTATTGTTTGAAATTAATATTTTTTGTAAATAGGAGCAGATATCATAAGATATTTTTCTTCTGCTGCCTTTCATTTTATTTTATTTGTATTGTTTTGTTGTATGTAATGTTTTGTTTTTAAAAATGAAATGAACAAAAACTACAAACTAAACAAAATGATCTATGACAGGGTCACAGATCATTTTCTTGAAAAGGAACGGAGAGTAGAATTTATAACCCACACATTTTATGATGCAGGCCGAAACTGAGCTTCCTCTTGTTGAAAGACCATCATCCGCCACTGAAATGAAGACATGAATTACCATTTCCAAATCTGAAGTGGACAGCAGGGGCTGGAGTTTAGAGATATTACGAAGCTGAAAATAGCAAGTGGAAACCAGGTTCTTTATGTGTTTATCTAGTGACAGATCTGAGTCAAGATTTACTCCCAGGTTGTTCACATTCTGCTTAACAGTTGAACTCAAAGAGCCGAGATGTTCTTTTATCTTTGAGATTTTATTTTCAGGGGCCAGGATCTGTGTCTCTGTCTTACTGAGGTTTAATAGTAGCAAGTTGTTAGACAGCCACTGGTTAACTTTAGTGACACATTTTATAAGAGAGGTGAGCTTGTGGGTGGTGGAGTCATTAAAGGAGCAGTATAGCTGCAGGTCATCTGCATAGAAATGGTAAGAGACGTCTGGGAAATTTTTGATGACCTCAGTCAGGGGGCGGATATAGAGCAGGAATAGAATTGGGCCCAAGATGGAACCCTGTGGAACCCCACAGGAGAGTTTGGCTGAGTCAGAGAGAGATTGGCTTAATAAGACTGAGAGAGCGGTCTGAGAGGTATGATTTGAACAAGTCTAGCACCACCGCAGATATCCCTATGTCTTTCAGATTTTGAAGAATAGTGTGATCGACAGTGTCAAACGCTGAGGACAGGTCCAGTAAAAGGAGGACAGAGTACATGCCTCTATCAGCAGACATTAGCAGATCATTAGATAGACAAGGAGGGCAGTCTCTGTTAGGGTTGGGTACCAAAACTCGGTTCCAGTATGGCACCGGGGGGGAGATCAACAGTAATACACAGACCGAAACACAATTCTAATTTCGGTGCTTTATTTTGGTGCCTCAATGAAAGCTGTTAATTGCACCCTCTTGGTGTTCACTGTTAACAGTGACAGCCTCAGCACACAATCTCCACAGAGTGCCAACAACAATAGGGGTGAGTTATGAACTTTTAATTTACGTTAGAGCTGCCGCCGTGCAGCAGGCAGACACTGCTCAGATCAAGTTTGCTCTGACTGCAGTGTGTATAAAAGTCGTGATGCAGTTTTCCTTCGGTGTACATTTCAAACTGTGATCTAAACTTAACTTCAGCTGGTTTAAATGCATTTTTTGCCCAGTGTAAAAAAAACGGGGGCAGACTGAGGCAGACTATGAGCGCTGCGTGTGTGTGAAGTCCTCACAAACATAGCAAGATGCTGTTTTTGCATCAAAAACGCTGGAATATTAAAACAGTCATTTTATTTTATGTGAAAATATATTATCTGATTAATATACAAATAAAACAGAATATTTAGCACTAGATAAAATAAAACATGAATTTATTTATTTTTTAATGTTTTCTAGTTTTAAGTTAATGCGTTGCTCAATTTCAAGTTTGACTTTGCCTCAGAAATAATCATTGCTTCATAAACCTCTGTGTGAGTGTTTGTGTGTTTTATTTATTTATTTTTAAAGTACCGATTTAAATACCGTTTAGGAACCGGTACCATTTTGAAAGTATCGATTTAGCACCGGTATCGAAATAAACCCTTTCAATACCCAACCCTAGTCTCTGTTGAGTGAGATCTGAAGCCAGATTGAAAGTGGTCGAAAAGGTTATTTACATCCAAGTATGATGTTAGTTGTACTGAAACATTTTTCTCCAAGACCTTAGACAAAAATGGTAGCTTTGAAATGGGCCGGTAGTTATTTAGGTCAGATGGGTTTAAAGACTGCTTTTTTCGTGTAGGTTCCACAACTGCTTTTTTAAAGGATTGTGGGACACATCTTGATGTAAGAGAGAGGTTTAGCAAGTCCGCAAGTGTGGGTCCCACTACGTCAAAAACAGTTTTTAAGAATCTGGGAGGTAAGATGTCAAGAGAGGAGGCAGATGGTTTCATTTTTTGGATTATGGTCCCAAGATTATTTACAGTTACCAGATCAAAAGAGGACCAGGAAGAATTGAGACTGTTCTCAAGAGGGGTGGTTTTGTGAAATGGAGCCTGAGACGGATGAGTTGAGATGCTGTGCCGGATGTTTTCAATTTTAACGACAAAGTGTGTTAGAAAGTTGTTGGGACTGGCAGGTGAACAGGCGGTAGGAGAGGAAATGACAGGGGAAACCAATGTGTCAGTGGTGCTGAATAAGGCTCTGGGGTTTTTCTTAAAGCGGGTGACCAACTGAGCAAAATATTGAGACCTGGCATTCAATCACTGATCACAATCACTTTGACTGGTAGTCAAAGGTAGAGGCCCATGTCCATGATAATGTCCAACTTGTATTTCCTGGAATAGATCGGGGACCTATGTGGTTTCCAGTTTTTGTGGCCACAAGGTACTTGTGTTCATTGGCGTGATTCACAGTTAAGTGTGAATCGGCTGCTCTGCCAAGTCTGAAGCCATGGTTCTCAAATGGAGAAAGCTAAAACACTCCCTTTTATGTTGGAGTTAAGTATTTCCCTCAAGCCAATCATGAGTGATAGCAGGATGGAGTGAGAGATGGACTGACTGATTCAGGCTTTTACAGTTATGAAAGCATTAACATTAAGAAGCTGTTTATATGAAAGTGTAGGACAAATAAAAGGGATGGTATGATGCAAAATCAACTTTTTTGGGCTTCATATCATGTTATAATGTTATTCAGTGTTGCTTTGATTCATTCATGCATGTTTGAGAAATCCTTGCCTCTTGTGGTAGCCATGTGGAGCTGCCTAAACACTAAATGGTACAAAGCTCTGCCTTTTTTACAAAGCTCCTTCATGGAACTTAGTCCCCAGCCGAGATCCTGTCCCACAGAGCACCCCACCCTCGAAATATTGTTGTGGAGCCGTGGTAAAGTGGGAGTGGTCAAAACAGTAGGCGGTTCTTTGAGACAGAGTTCAATTTCAAGGCATTTATAGGCTATGATGGAAACTCAAATTTATTTCGGATATGTACAGAATTTTCATAACAACTGAAGACAATATAGTTACTCGATTGTGGTATAGAATTGAATGAAATACATAAGAACCTTCCCTTTAAGATAGATTTATAAAAGTAACACAAATCCTATTTTGCTAACAGTTACATAAGTGACACTACAGTAATTGATTAGATGGTGAAATGTTGAAGCCTAAAACTATAAAAAATAATGTAAATATAATAAAATGCTTAATTTGTGATTAGTTAAATCTGTTTATGTAAATTATAAAATTTGATAAAACTGGAACATCCTTTCAGTAAAGTTGCTTCTGACAATGGATTTTGAGACTTTGTCTTTGTTTGCAGGTCCACATGATCGTTCGAACATTGCACTGAAGAACCTGTTCTGCAGCAGTCCAGACATAGAAGCCCTTGAGGTGAGAGCACCATGTCTTCAGACACAGGCAACAACAGGATCAGCACCACACATACTGTACACACTCGAGCGTGCGCAGTGATTCACATTCTGTCGTTCACACATTTTGAGCACCCACATACAGTTTTTCACGCTCTACAGTACATCACTTCCCACTCAAACAGGCACCAACGCAAACAGAATGCACTCACACAGAATCTCAAGCATCCTCAATATAAAATCTCCTTTACTTTGACTCAGACTTTTACCTTTCAGCCTTAGGAAAACACTTTAATTCTGCATCAGCTTGCTAAGGGCTCATTTCATAGTTTTTTTTCTAGCAGTGTAGTAAAGTTTAGTCAAGTCAAACTGACATTGCAGGAGAGTATTTATTTGTTTCTGTATTTGCAAATTCAAACTACACTGAGGTTTTTACCATTATGTGCTTGTCTCTGGTCACTTTAAAAGAAAAACAACAATGTGGAGAGCCCAGTGTCTCCTGAGCTCAGGAGGCCATCCAAACGAGTCCGGATATCCGTTGTGGTAAGAGCCACCGTTCTGGGCTACCAACAAGCCTGGAATCCGCTCTGGAACAGGTCCATCAGAAAATCGACCGGTTGTCATTGCAGCCATTCCATCTCAGGGCTAATCCCAAATGCCGATGGCCTGTAATCTGAGCCACGCTCAGCCAAAGCTGTGCCATTGTGCCAACAGTGTTAGATCATCCAACCTTTAACCTGTCCACAGGCCTTTCACAGCCTTTGATTTCTGTCATTATAGACATAGATTCATCCAGCTTAACCAGTTTCCATTGGTCTGTTGGTCAGAAGAAAGTATACAGAATATTTGACCACTGAAATACCAGTACTTATAATTTGAAATAATAGAAATGTTACAGATATCATTGTTTTAGTTAAAATCTTATTCCATTCATAATTGTATTTACATCACAAAGTTTACCTAAGTAAGACATCCTGTTAGATCCAAATTGGATGTTGTTATTCTTTACATTAAGCTGTTTTATTAGAAATATAACAGACCGTTTACATGTCCAGGTCATAGACATCTCCTATATAGCCTTGTTTATAATATTAAACATAACATTAGTAGTAGAAACTCTAAAATCTACCCAGTTTCTGTGGTGATCAACTATATAAGTGATAAGAAGGTCACATGTGGGATGACTCTTACTGGTGGTTTTGTGCTTCCTTTTTGTTCCAACTAGGATGTTCTTAAGCAATGCTGTAAATTTGCCAGAAAAAAGATACAGCGGGTAAAATAATTATTGAACACGTCACCATTTTTCTAAGTAAATACATTACTAGAGGTGCTAATGACGTGACATTTTCACCAGATGTTGGTAACAACCCAAGTGATCCATACATACAAAGAAATCAAACCATAGATGTCCAGAAATGAAGTTATTTGTAATAATGTGGAATGGCACAGGGAAAATGTATTGAACACACTTACTGAAATGTATCTAATACTTTGTACAAAAGCCTTTGTTGTCAATGACAGCTTCAAGATGCCTACTGTACTAGTCGCATGCATTGCTCAGGTGTGATTTTGGCCCATTCTTCCACACAAACAGTCTTCAAATCTTGAGGGCCTCTTCTATGAATTCTGATCTTTAGTTCTTTCCATAGATTTTCTGTTGGATTCAGGTCAGTTGATTGGCTGGGCCATTCCAGCAGCTTTAGTTTCTTTCTCTGAAACCAATTGAGAGTTTCCTTGGCTTTGTGTTTGGGGTCATTGTCTTGCTGAAATGTCCAACCATGTTTCATCTTCATCATCCTGGTAGATGGCAGCAGATTTTTATCAAAAATGTCTGTACATTTTTCCACTCATCCTTCCTTCAATTATTTGAAGTTTGCCAGTACCATATGCTGAAAAACAGCCCCACACCATGATGTTCCCACCTCCAAACTTCACTGTTGGTATGGTGTTTTTGGGCTGATGTGCAGTGCCATTTGACCTCCAAACATGATGTGTATTATGACATCCAAACAGTTCAGTTTTGGTCTCATCTGACCAGATTATATTCTCCTAGTATTTCACAGGCTTGCCTAAATGTTGTGCAGCAAACTTTAAAGGAGCTTCACCATGCTGTTTCTTCAGCAGTGGAGTCTTGCGTGGTGAGCGTGCATACAGGCCATGGTGGTTCAGTGCATTAMTTATTGTTTTCTTTGAAACAATCGTACCTGCTAATTCCAGGTCTTTCTGAAGCTCTCYACAAGTGGTCCTTGGCTCTTGGACAACTCTTCTGATAATTCTTTTCACTCCTCTGTCAGAAATCTTGTGAGGAGCACCTGGTCGTGGTTGGTTTATGGTGAAATAATGTTCTTTCCACTTCTGAATTATGGCCCCAACAGTGCTCACTGGAACCTTCAGAAGTTTAGACATTCTTCTGTAACCGATGCCATCATTATGCTTTGCAACAATAAGGTTGAGAAGGTCTTGAGAGAGCTCTTTACTTTTACCCATCATCAGATGGTTCTTGTGTGATACCTGGCCATCATTTGGGACTGAACCAGCTGATATTAATTTGCACTGACAAGGGGCAGGCTTGCTTTCTAATTACTGAGAGAGTTCAGCTGGTGTCTTGGCTTTCCTTGCCTTTTTTCACCTCCCTTTCTTCATGTGTTCAATACTTTTTCCCTGTGCCATTCCACATTATTACAAATAACTTCATTTCTGGACATTTATGGTTTGATTTCTTTGTATGTATGGATCACTTGGGTTTTACCAACGTCTGGTGAAAATGTCACGTCATTAGCACCTCTAGTAATATTTTTACTGAGAAAAACTCTGACGTGTTCAATAATTATTTTACCCGCTGTATTTTTCATTGGCTGTTATTAGACAGGTTTAAAAGAGTGATCCGGCTCCAACCTCTTTCTAAACATGTTGTCTGTTAAATGATGTGGCTCATCAATTGCCACATAGCAAAATGACAGATATTTGCTTATTATTATTATTATTTGCTTGTTATTGATATCATTTCCTATTTAGATATAGTTAAATATTAAAGTAGATCAAAAACAACTGTGGAAAGAGCAGTTATTAAACATTTGGGCTTTTTTATTATGAACAGGTTTTGTGCCAAAGACCAGTTTAGCTAACGTTCAGTTGTTGTTTTTTTCCGGGATATAGAAAAACATTTTACCCATCGTGACACTGTTGTGTCAAAATATCCAAACTAAGATGTGGTAAAGTTGTGGTCAAGTCTTCTGCTTTCCTGACATTTTTCAATCAAGCATGCTGTCATTCATTATTTGTGTCATGAGAGGTACCCAATCAGTGACTGCCTCTCAAAACTGGAGTGAGACCCCCCCCCCCCCAAATCAATTTTTACCTGTTGTAACCTATTTAAAAACTATTTACTTGACCTATTAATCATACTCACAAAGAAAGAAGAAGCCGAGTCAGATCAACTTGTTGTGCCTTAGTTTAATATCAGGACATGGATATCATATCTCTTCATTAGGATCAGAACTTTGAACATTAGTGTTACGTCAAGTGACTCAGACGCACTAATACATAAACTTGAATGCTGCATGTTGTCCAATTTCTGATAATGCATTGCATATCAGTAAGTGAAATCTGCATCGGATTATGAATAATGACAAATGATTTCATCACACCAGAATACTTGGGGCTGCATGAAAAACTGCCAGACAATTTCAATCTCTCAAACAAAAAAATCAAAAAATGAAGGATGCCGTGATTTTTGCATTCTGTTTGAATGCATTTACAATTGTACAAGTTTTCTACTCATCACATATCATTTTATTTGCTAGGAGCCACCAACTGTCCTCAAGGGTTTCTCTGGGGTGAGCACATTCATTCTTCAAAACACAAACTTAGTTTTGGTCCATTTTTAAAAGCCACTGACAGAGGTGGTTTGCAGTATTTCTGCTGAGATTGGTGCAAATTGCAAAACGTGTTGATGCTGAATTGATGAAGTTTAAGTCAAAGGAAAGCTCACAGTTTCACAATATCAATGAGTAAAACCTGGTTAAAAAGAGGTAAAATGTTGTTTTCCAAGATATCAACCACCTTTATGTCTCATTTAAAACATTTCAGATAAAAATATTTACTTTTGTGTTACTGTGTGAAGTCTTATAGAGTGAGTTGTATAAGTTTCTATGTATTGAACTAAATAATTATCAGAGTTAGAAAACTTGTTTTTTCCTAAAGGGAAATTGCCTTTGTTAGAACCGCACATCCATCCAGCTATCAATACCTGCTTCTACCTTTATGTGCTGTGAAGGTTGCTGGTGCCTTGATTATAATTTTAAATCATAGAAATGTTACAGCTCTTGTTATGTCAGTGTAATTCCTATAAGGCAGTGAAACGGTGCCATCAGCCCACCCAGTTATTCAGGTCCATCTGTTTTAATTTTGAAAAGTGCCATAGTGGTATTTAATCATTTATGGCATCTGTTGCTTCAGGCTCTGTTTGATAAAATATGATGCGATCTATTACTCTAAATAGTTTAGTTGGCATCTCAGAAACAAACACTGACATCATTGTGCTTATCAGTCTTGCACTGATCCCATCAGATTTCTAATATCTCTTCTGCTCTGAAATGTCATTAACC